ATTTTTTGACCCATCTTTCTCTCTCTTCCTCCACATCACTCTCTCTCCCCCCACCACTCACTTGTTGGATATAATGACTTATAATATTATGTTTAGTTTAAGTTTTTATGATGACAAATATAGATAAGTGTACTATACATATGCCTAATTTTTTTCATACATATATAACTATGATTATGGAGCAAGTACTTTAAAGTGTTTTTACTTATATTGTTCTGTATTACATGAGATTTGAAAAAATAATATGTATGTATCAAAGTTATTTATCCTATCATATTTTTTCTTATCTTAAATTAGTTATATATCCAATAGAGTTTATAGTTTCATCTTTCATAACTTAGATATATGCATATTGATACTTGGACTAATCATTTTGTTCATAATATATCATTTAAAGTTGTCCAAAGTGAATATGAAAGTAAGCATGAAAAGGAAGAAAGTTGAAGTCATTATTTGCATGCTACATTCATGATTGAAGAATATAAAGATAAAAGAACGATGATCTAAGAAGAGTTTAAGAAGAATGAAGACATTCATACAAGCTTGGATGTATCTTGGAAGCCTTGGACTTGATGGGTATAATATTATTAGGCTAGAAGCCTTTATGTCAAACTCATTGATTTAGATATAAAATATTGGCTCAAGATATTTTAAATCAAAAGATGCATTTTAACTCTTAGGAGAAAAGGTGAGATATAATTTTCTATAATTATGTTTTTCATCTTTTATTACATATATCTCACAAGGTTTAAATGTTTTGATTAATAAATCTATAAATTTTTTAAAGTTGTTCTATTTACTCAAAATGGAGTTAAATTGAAAAGTCATAAACCCTTAAAATCTAATCTTTGAAATGGTAATTGTGCATAAAAGCAGATTTGACTTTTAGTCACATTTCTTATCATATCTTTCACTACACAGATCATTTTAATGTCAAATATATTTCATTTGAAAATAGACTCCAACAGCTTTTCAATAATAGTTTATTAACTTAAAATGGAATTCTATTGTGAAAGATATGAATTTTAGAATTTAAGTGTTGAGATATTGATTCTGCACAGCATTTAGAGTTGATCTTCATTTACTCTTTTGATCATATCCCAAAATTTACATTGAATCTTAGTGTGAAAATTATATTATTGAAAACTAGACTTCAAGAGTTTTCCAACAATTTATAATTTATTAGGTTTGGAGTTGTATTGAGTGAGTAAGAGCCTTATGAAATTATGTGTAGTGGCATCCTCCAAAACACACGTGATTTAAACTTGCACACACATGTGAATTGTTTTGAAAAAGCTTCAGTGTCCAAACCAGTGTGAATCACTTCCCATACACACTTGAAACGTCACCTAAAAGCCCTTTTTTTTTTTCACTGAATAGTTTTTATGGTCCAAATCATGGGTGAATCACTTGCTATATACACGTGAAATGTCACCCAAAAGCTTTATTTTGAGTCAATAGCTTCTATGGTCTAAATTAAGTGTGAATTACTTTTTATCCATGCATGATTTGTTACTTATGCAACACCGCATGATATTTCAAGCGTGATTTGTCACATTCCAAGTGAGATTTGTCATTGGCTTGTGAAATGTCCATTTCATGTGTGAATGAGTTTTGCTCGACATGAGAAATGTCACCAATGACTATAATCACTATGCAAGGACTATAAATAATCATATTATGTCTCTAACACTAATTTCACTTCATGGGCTATATATATAATACTCTAAACTTATCTTAACCATGGGATTAAGACAAGAAATCATTGAGTTATGAGATTTGTATTCTTTATACTCTTATTATACAAAAATTATCGTACTTGAGCCAATATCGTCTATATCTTCATCATTTGAGTATTAGAACTTCATTGTACTTATCATTACTATTAAAAAAAGTTTCAATTGAGTGATTTACATATTTTAAATCATTGTAAAGGTGAGGGAGAGATTTTTCTTGTAATCAAGAGAGGTTGTTCTCTTGAAAAAAGAGCTCACTAGTAAAGTGAGTTGCTATAAAGGCTCACAAGTACCTAAACTAAACTTGTGGTTATACTTTGGTTGCAAGAACCCACTTAAGCTTATGTTATTCTGAAGAAATCTTGAGTAATCGCTTGGGAACTGGACCTAAGCTCAAGTGGTAGAGATGAACCAAGATAAATCATTATTTGCAATCTCTCTTCCCTTAACTCTTTATATTTCTAACAACCTTTTGTCCAAAATAAACTTTGATATTTTTATATGCATTTATTCAAACTTGCACTTAGAGATTTTTTCTGAACATTCTTACTCAAAAAGTTTAGAACTCAAATTTGCTTAAACTTATCTTTAAACACAATTTTGTTGAAAGGTTTCAAAAGAACCAAAAATTCCATAAAACACCCGATTCACCCCTTTTTGGGTGTATTGTCATATCTAACACTTCTCTCTCTCCTTGCTGGAATAAGACGATCGGAATTTTGATGGATACACAATGTCACTCATTCTCGAACATGCCATGGTGGCCTTCGTCATCGATGATAGTATTCTTGAACAGAACCTTCATAGTGTTAGCCTATATTCTCTACTGTCTAATTAAAAAGGGTAGTGCATGAATGCACTTTGGGAACTCTAATAATAATAATAATAAACTTTTGAACATCCTGAAAGGACTCAAGCTTTGTTGAAACAGCAAGTTCCACAAAGTCAACATTTATAAAATAAGAACTAATGTTTATCGCATTTCCACAAAGTCAACATTTTATCGCATTTATTAATGACTAATGTTTCAATAAAAGACTAGTGAGGATAATAACATGTTTAGAATACAATAAGTTAACATTTTATTGACAGTACTTGTCAATGTTAGAAAGTAATTCCAATGATTGCGAGTCAAGCCTTTTACCTCATGCATCAAATACCCTAATTTAACATCGTTAGTACCATATCATCATCCCTCTTGGCATATTTAACAATAGAGAGGTTAATGTTGCAAATGAAAAAAAAAAAAGCTATAGGAACCTAAAGCATTAAAAAAAATACAGGATTAATAACAAAATATAATAAAACTATAGGGATCAATAGTTATGTTTTCCCTTGATTCAACAAGAAACAATCACATATATGAAGATTAATCAAAGCACCAACAGGTTTCCTTGCGGTTGCTTCGGCAGAAAGAACCAATATGAAATAAAGAGAATGACCAAAACAGGAGAACGCTTTTTGAAAGTCATCATTAATTAGGTTTGATGCATAGATCACTACTGTAACCATAAGACATTAATTTATCACAAGAAATGCGTGGGTGGTAAACTGATTCAATTCTTCATGTTCAATAATTCAAATAGGTGATGTAACTTTATTTATTAGTTTTCTTAATTTAAAGACTTCGCTCGCTCAAGCAGTCATTACAAGAGTATGAAAATTTAGGTCAATTTGCTTGGTTGAACCAATAAACAATTAAACTAATAACTTAACCAGTTTAATAAAATATTTTGTTTATGGCCAATTAGATCACGATTCAATAATTACAGTTTTGACCATTAATCCTTAAACTAATACTTTGACTAGTTCAAAGATCAATCTAATTTTTAGTCTCTGGTTATTATTAATGTTGTTGTTGAAGTCTTCATCATCATTGTTGTTAGATTAATAGATTAATTATAGATTGAATCACTCAAACTGCTCTTGATTTTTTTTCAAAAAAAAATTACATAACCATTCTTTAAAATGAAACAAAAAGACTTAATGAACATAGAACCTCTTAAGCTTTGTGTTATGTACATATAACATTCATAATATTTAAAACTTCACAGTGAAATTTTACCCAAAAATAAAATAAAATAAAACTTCACAGTGAAACTTTCCAATTCCCAAACTTCTTAATGTATGTAAATAACTATGTTGCTGTTTTTTTTTATACAATTCATACGTTTTTTTTTTTTTTCTTATGGAAAATTTTGTGCATAGTTAAAAAATAGCAAAAAAAAAGAAAGGATAGGTGTAGTTTAAGAAAAATGAAAAACTAGGAGTTTGGGTCTTTAAATCTTTATTGAAGGAGAAGTTTGTATGATTACAAAATAAAGAGAATGTTAATATAATTTTAATAAAATTCAAAATTTTACTAATCTTTAAAATAAGAATAATTGTACAATCAATACATAATTATATTATATTAAAATAGAACACAACTAAGGGGTGCTTTGGTTTGAGAGTCAAACTGGCTAATCCTGCGGTGTCAAGTTCGAGTCCTTGGATATACTGACAAAGAAATGTAAGCTCCTAGAAAGCTCGGTTTGAATCTTGTGTGAGAATGTTTTGTATCACAATGGCAACTAATTTAAAAAGAAATTGAATTTAATATTGCTATGTGAATTGATAAATTAACCTCTAGGAGTTTAGAAGGTCAATGTTTTATTTGCTTATTTGTGTAATATTTTTAATGAGAAGTAGTGTAGGTAAGCGTCACATATAATTCATTGACTTATTCTAATTTCCCAAAACTATAATATTGATGAGAAAACTTGTCGTGATTTTTGTTTCCTTGTTATATGACTTCAGTTTGTACAGAAAATCAAATTATAATCGTTAACATTATATTTTTCATATATAATGACAGCTAATGACAAAATTTTTAGATACCGTAGTGTGCTTAAATGTTTTTCAAGTACATTTATTTTAATTTTTAAATTATTTTTACTTGTCCGTTGACTGGCTAAGTTGTCATAGCTAGATGGATTTATCGCCGGACTGATTTAAACAATAACTATTAATTCTCAGTTATTTCCATAATAATATTACAAAGTGACAAAATAACTGTTGAGAGGGAATTTATTGGATTTCTAATTACAAACAAGTATACAATTTTTTCCCAGAAAAAACCAATTTTATTAATAACCCAAAAACAAATCACAAACACCAATAGCCGAAACTAATACACTGACAAATATAGATACAACGTAACACATAGGTCACAAAAAAAAAATCCAGAAAAATAAACCAAACTACAGTCCAAACAAAGAAGGCAACATCAACCAATTCTTTTTTTAGTCCTTTAATTTGAGAACAATTAGCAGATACAACAGAATTATTACTATTAGCTAATAAATCAACAAGGAACAAAAGAGACAAAGATGATGTAGCTTTAGAAAGCCATCCAAGAGATGCAACTAGCAACAAAAATTGTGGCCACGTGCACAATCACAACTCTTGCCAGTAATTCCTTGGGAAACGAATGTCCTCCCCTTTTGAGATGCTACAAATTAAAGAGAGGAATTTACATAATGAGTAATAATTTACAAAATTTCCCCAAAAAAATAAATATAGAAAAAAATCAGAGAGGTCCCATACAAAATTCTAATTACCAAAGTCTCACGAATCTTAAAAATAACTCTAAAATCCCATAGATTTTAATTGTAAGAAAACTTTGGAATGCATTTACCAAAATACCATTTATTTAAAAAATAAGAAAAAATAACAAAAAAAACCTACTCAGGATAATACAAATTTTAGATTATCAAGTTGGTCTCAACTATTGATTTAGTCTTTCAAGTTTAATTTTTATCAATTTAATCTTAAAGTTACTTCGATTATTGATTTGGCATTATTATTTAAAATTAAGGGGTGGTGTAACTGTAATACTAAAATTTACTTAACATAGATATATAACAGAATGTTGATGATAACTATGTAGATTAATAAAAAAGAAGTGTAATTTTTTAGATGGAAAAACCTTAAACTATGAAAATTTAAAAAACAAGAGTACAGAACACAATCTAAAGGATTATATTGACAAAAAATTAAACTGATTTAAGGGTAATTTATTCTCATTTAGCTACATACATACATACATACTATATATATATATATCAAGTCATTAATATATTTTCACGTACGTTAGATTATTTTAAGAGTTAATTTATATTTTAAAATTTAAAGGCCTTAATTGATAAAAATTAAACTTGAAGAACCAAATCAACAAATGAGGCAAACTTGGAAACTGAAATTACATATATCCCTAGACAGTATATGATACCAGCGAGTTTACAAGTGTATTTGTATATTAATGAAGGCCAGAAAGATGAAAGAAAGCGTCACTTACACCTATGGGGATCCGAAGCAGCACCAAGTTTTCTGGGCAATGATGCTTCAGCAGCAAGAAACACAGAAAGAAATAAGAGAACCACCAAAACAAGAGTAGAGTGCCTCTTGGAAGCCATTATTTGTTATTAGGTTGGATTCGTATTTCACAGCTCATAATACAATTCAATTATAACACAAAGTTGGTGGGGTTTGTGGCCCACATCCTGTCTTTTCACATTTCTTTATTATTGAGTGTCTGGTCAGAAAGTCTGGATTGGTTCAGATTGGAAATGTTTCGGTCTTATTGTTTCCGTGTTAAACGACTTTAGTTTGTAATAATTGATAATTATGTTCCGTTCGATGATTGGCTGATCTTTCATGCCACATTTATTCAAGGTCAAACGGAAAACGTAGGGCAATATAGGTGCAAATAACTTTTTCTTTTTGGCCCAAAAAGTAACTTAATCATTCAAGTACGTAGACTAGCTTCAACACAAAATCAAAAATTGCCTCCTCTAATTGTTCGCGAAAGGTTATGTATATTAAAAAATTGGAGTGTTAATGTGGTTTTTTTTTTTCAAGTCCCTAAAAACTGTTTTTCGTCTTTGTTTTGAGGGAAAAACCTTGTCTTTTCACATTTCTTTATTGTGGGTGTTCTGGTCGGAAAGTGTGAGTCAATATTTTAAAAACTAGATTGAACAATAAATTAAAAGTTTAGTGGGTCACGGGTCTCATGGTTTAACTAGTTAGGCCAATGGTTGAACCAATGACATAATAATTAAATAAAAAATTAATATTTACCCCCACACAATATATATATTAAAAAATGGGTCAAAAATTGTTCGACTGTTTTGGATCTCATTAATTCTATTTAAAAATTTAATAAGTTTATAACTTTGCTAATATTAAATATAGATATTTAATGAAGTATTTTCTCTCACTAGCATTAATGGGAGATAAAAGGAAAAAATTTATAAAAAAAATTAATGATATAATTTATAAATATGATTTAAAAATTGTCTCTCTGTTTTACAAATAGAACCCTAAGAAATGCAAAATTTCAAAACCAAATCCAAACTCCATAATGGATGGCTTACAACCAATTTCAATTCTATGAATTCACCAAAGGATGGTAAATATGGCT